CCATTTGTCTTCAGCGATCATATTGGGAAGGTGAGCACACAGTGATATGATTTATTTCACCTTTTTTGAATTGAGAAAACACTCATGTTTTTCCCATAGCACTGTCCTTGTAAGTTGTGTTCAACATCATAACAGTTTCTGCACCATTTTTCCCAAGCAAGAAACAGAATTTCACAGCCACACACTGTTCTCTTAAATCGACCATCACAAAAAACAAGGTTCGAGCAAAAGTGCTTTCATGAAAAAATTCACTGTGACCAGACAGAACCTTTCCATGCGATGACACTGGGTGCACTATCTCAGAGTGAGTTGCTGGATGCTCACCTAGCAGGAAAAATATGTACTACGAAAGCTCCACTCCACCCACCACAATTCCAGAGTTTGGGGGGTACCCCCTCATACAGTGATATAAACATTTTAAGTAAAGTTTAACCAGTTTTCAAAAGATTAACACCAATGTTTAGAGATAATCAGAAATTAAGCATTTTTGAATATTTTTACACCACAGCACACATTCTTTATATTAAGAATGAAAGCTTCAGCAAAATTGCATATTAATGAACTGGACACATAAACAAGAAGGTCCATTTTTCTACTGCATCAAGAGACACTATATACTGTACTTACTTCTGTGTAACATTTTGTAGGCTTAACATCATACCCAGTTCTCCTTTCATCTTTTCTCTGTTAGCACGGCATTCTGCCAAGTATCGAAGAGCCTATAGCAGAAATGGTAATAGGTTATTCGTATGTCTAGCCTATCCAAAATTAAAACTTCTAACAACGCAAAAGGATTGTATTCTATTCTTACACCACTGTTACTTGGAACACATCCATAATAAAAATAATTATTATCTTTTATTTTTAAAAAAGAGTGTGTTGAATCAGAGGGAGATATGAGACAGAGAGATGGCAAAGAGGGAAAGTGGTTTTGGTTTGGGAATCGATAGATTCTGGAGTGTCTGCAGAGTCCCTCCTCTGCATGTGCCAATCCCAGGAGCCTTTCGGGGCAGAGACTATTCTGTGAAGTGACGGTTCCTAACATTTGTGCAAGGTCGACATTAGGTTGTTCTGATTACACGTACACCACTTTACCCAGACAATGTAGGATACCAGGAACTTGATCTCCTGTGTTATTTCATTCCAGGGAGAAGTCCCAATAGACATCATTTCCCAAGATGCTTTTTGTACATTAATTAAAATAAAACCTTTAAAGAATGAACTGATTTCTCCGTGAACAAAATTCTCTAAAATACCATCTTTTCTTAAGAAACTGAAGATGAACGAATTGTCTCATTATTTTCTATGAGATAAACTAATGATTCTATGATGCTTTTCTCATAATATCTTATATACATTTTTAAAGTACTTCTGCCATGAACTTCAGGGAGTCACATTTAGCTGTTGCCCTTGGCTCCTCACCATTGCTACCAACCAGTGACCCCCTCCACCACTTTTCATGATTTGTACTCTGAGGAATATGTGGATAACACAACCCAAACTCTGCCATTCCAGTCAAATGACCTTCACCTCTCCAAAATGCTGTGTCATTACACAAAGCAGTGCCAGCTCGGAATCACATGGGCAAAGACTTTCCTCTGGCTACAACATCCTAGCCTTTCTGCTCACTCTTCTTATTGACTTCTATCAAGACCACCATTCTATACAATTTCCAACAGAACAGCCTATATATATTTATATTTATTTGGATTTTAAATGCTTTCAGACAATGAGCAGAAAGCAAGCTAACACTGAGAGAAAGGAAACGGAGGTGAGCCCTCCAGCTGCCCCAGCTTATTCCTTTGGAGGCAGTTTCTAGGCGACAGTACAGGAAACCACCGCTGCTGAGTCAATCCAACTCTTAGCAACCCTGTACGTCAGGGCAGAAGAACTCCCCTGGGTTTCTAAGGTTCTAATCTTCATGTGAGCACACGGCCTCACCTTTCTCTCGTGGAGAGGCTGCTGGGTTCAAACTCTTAACTTCGCAGTTAGCAGTCTAATGTGTAACACACTATACTACTAGGGCTCCTTGCAGCACATGGAGCGGAAACCCAGTAGAGTCCAGCAACTTCCCTGAGCTATCAAAACAGAAAGAGTTGAGGTGAGAGTGGCAAGAATTTGAGGAGCAGAAAAATGGAGAATGGAGTTACACAGCAAGAGAGCTCCAGAGTCCAGTTTACATACGACATGGTAGCCTAGAAAAGTCTCCGAGAGGGCTGTGCCATTGGTAACAACTAAGGCACCACAGTCCCCAGAGTGAATGTTAGACAATAAAAGAGATCCTACGATCTCAATCATTCAACTAACTGCTGACAGGACATTACAGTTGAAACAATCAATTCCTTAATCTTTTGCTCACTGGAAAGTTTCAGGATCAAGGGCCAAAAATATTTTCTCTGACACAGCGAAGGAAAAAACGTGAAAGGGAAAATGTAGACATGTGATGCTAAGTCGGAAGAGACTATCCATCCCCATCTCCCTCAGTGTCATCTTTCCCAGACCCGCAGCAACACAGAGGGAAGCTACTACCTGGCTTTGTCCTCAGCTGTCAGACAGGGTCACTATGAGTCCACATGGACTCCGTGGTGGTGTCTCTGGCTTGGTTCTTTGGAAGGAGCTCTGAAGGCACAAGGGCTAAGCACTCAGCTGCAAACCAAAAGGTGAGTGGTTTACACCCACCCTTTCTCCCCAGAAAATCCTACGGGACAGTTCTATTTTGTCACACGAGGTGAACAAGCGTCGAAATTGAGTTGACAGCGCCGGACAAGGAGGCTAAGGCTGTTATCTAAGAGCAGCCACACAGGGACAGCATGCACTAACAGGTCGGCAGAGAAGCAAGAAAGAGAAGGCAGATGCAGAAGCACCCAAGAGAGAAAAAGACATTCCCAGAGTCCCAGGTTTCCTCCTCCTCGCTAATTTTGTTTCTGCACTTCTCACTCAGATTCCTTGCTTTCGATGACCAACCCCCAACCTGTCCCTGCTTAACGTAACACTAGATCCTAACAATTACAAAGACAGGGGAAAACAGAATTAAAAAAAGAAAGAAACAGGAAATGGTTAAGTCAATTCTGTTACTAATCTAGGCAAACAGTCATAGGTAACACAAATGAATAAATCTTAAGAGCAACACAGAGAGCATTTATAGCAACTCAAACAAACATGTGAACTAGAATTTTCTTGAGTTTCATTTAACAAATCAGTGAAAACAAAGAAAGCGGCCTAGATGAAGAGACTCTCAAACAAAAGTTTGTTGGTTTGGGTGTAAAATGCCCATAAAGTTCACCAGAAAGGGTGAGGTAAGCAGCTGGTCGCAGGGGACATGGAGTCTATGTGGAGAGGGGAGAAAATGGAGAGGAGAGGGAACTCTTTTGGAGAAAATGGAAAACGTCAGCTTTAGAAATCCCAGCGAAGGTCACAAGGATATGTCAACTACACCACCAATTTCTCAAATGATCACTTTTTAGACAACCACTTACATTTGCTACTCAATTCCATACTAATGTTTTAATGACTGGAGTAAAATCTAAGAATGACCATAAAAAATACTGCCTTGCATTAAGTTTCCAATCTATTTCTTAAATCATTGCTCCATATACTGACTCCTAAATATGCAAATGTAATTTCTTGTTCTCTGTGAGGTTTCCACCTGATCTAGCTTTGAAACAATGGCTAATCTTAGATTTCATAGATAAGCACCAAGCTTCCCCTCTAGGCTGTAGCTCTCTGAACTTTTTCTCTTGTTTCTCTCAAGTGCTTTTCTCATTTCCTCCCTCTCACTCTTTTTCATTTTCACTTTATAGTAAAACAAGAAGTCCACGTCCATCACCTCATGAGGGATAAAGAAATGTGGTGTATTCGTACCATGGAATGCAACTTGCCTATAGATGCTGCAAAATAGACAAAGCTTGAATACATTTTACCAAATAGAAAAAGCCCTTGACGAAAAGCCCACGTTATACAAAATGTCCAGAATAAGTAAATAAATAGATATTAAGATTTTCCTACGGCTGGTGAGGTTGGGAAGGGTTCAGGATGATATCTAAAGGTACCACATTTATGTATACACACTTCTTTTTAAGATGATGATATTTTACAATTGATTGTAGTAAAAGTTGCACAGTCTTTAATTTAACAAAGCCACTATATTGTATACTTTAAATGATAAAATCGAACAGTATGCTACTCTCCACTAAAAGTTGTTATAAAACAAATAAAAGTGCCCTTTTTTAGTTTAAATATCTATTTGTACTGATGTGATATAGTCCTCTATTAAATCTATTTATAATTATATACACACACACACAAATCTATATACATACACACATCTACGCATGTACTATGTTCTACTATCTACTCTCTAGCTTCCTTGAATTTTTTTATGTCATCCAACATTTTTTGTGTTCTATTTAATGGTGAAAAGACAAACACTGGGATTGAATTACTACAGACAACTTACGAGCAAAGCCGAGTGAACAACAGAGGGGTTGGGATGGTCCATAAACAAAATAAGGCCAGGAAGACATCCCTGATCCTGGACAATGGCTCTTCGGTTTAACGGGTCTGCGGCTAGGTCTCGTAGCTGGTTAACAACTGATAGAGCATCAGGTTCTTCATTCATGGTGGAAGAGGACGAATTCATCTTCAATCCATACACTTGAATCAAATCTTAATCTCTGTAGAAAGAGTTTGCAAGATTAGTTCTAGACTGCTGAGGTATGCTACGTCTACTAAATAAGGACTATAGCACCTTAGATGCATGTAATTCACCGAAAAACTTTAAAAAGTGACAACTGCATCGTTTCAGAAGAGTACGGCGGACATGAGAAACTCATTGAAGAAATCAAGTTAGCTATGTGTGCACCATGTTTAAGGATGGTATGCCATCCTCAATACTCCAATAAATTCCCGTTGTGTATTGCTAAACCAAGATCTTTAGAGGTTGTGCTCGCAACCTCCTCCCCTCTACTTCTCAGAGTACATAGCCCTGCCAAGGCTTCCAGTTCCAAATTAGTGAATGAACTTTCTGAGCTTAAACAAGTACCTTGGGGAGAAGTGGCTGACAACTTCTTATTATCTATGAAGAAAACGCACACAGCACGTTGAGTCTACACAAGATAAGATCTTCTAAGAAAAAGAACTGTGTCAAAGCAGTCAGTCAACAAAGAAGCTATGAAAGGGATGTGGCCCTAATGGAGTTTGGGAGATTACAAAGAACTGGAACTGACCACCAGTCCATTTCTGGTGTGCGCTACTCTATGGCCCCAGAGAGAGGTAAGTATTGAAAGAATGGAGTAGAATTTGGGATAATTCAGCTAATCCCTCACTTGACAGATAAGGACACAGGCACAGAGAAGTTAAAAAAATTAGCCATGTCACAAAAGCTAGTCAGTGAAAACTAGTCAACCCTTCTTTACTATTGGAATTGACTCGGTGACAGGGGTTTGGTTTTGACTTGGAAATTAGTGAGCAATCTTTGTTACTTTCCACACAGTCATTTTAAATTCAGCAACTCTTTTTCCTATGAAAGTAAACAGGATATTTTAGAAAATGCAGCATGCTAAACATACGAAAGTCAGAGAAAGAGAGTATCAAAGAATATTCTTCATTTATGTAGAAAGTTAAAAATAATGTTAGTCAATCGAGGTTCAACGTATGTTCCTTTTAGGAAGAATAAAAACATATTAAATACTTTCCACAAATTAATAAGTTTCCTTGTGGTTGCCTTTTCCCTAAGAGTTATTATATACCAAAGGATAAAAACACTAATTATCATTTAGATTTGTATTGCTTTATAACTATCTCAGTAGAAATTCATAATGAATATGTTTAATGCAATTTCCAGAAAAACCCCAACTTGAGGAGAGAAAATTATTATTCTGTAACTCCCGAGAGACTACTAAAGCTACTTTGCGGGAAAAGGGTAATAAAGCAGAACTGGTTTTACCGTGTTTTGAAATATACAAAAATGTAAGGATAAAATGAAGTAAGAGGTGGGTCAGAGACAGAATTCTCACCTTCCCTGCTGGAGGTCTGGGCTTAATACCCAGCTAACGGCAGTCACCACTGACTATCAGCGGGGACTTGCATGTGGCTATGATACTGAACAAGCCTAAGAACTAGGAGGAAAAGCCCACAACAATTGCAAACTCCCCGCTAATGACAAGCCTACAGACGACATGTTCTCCTTGTACACGGGGTCCTAAGAGTGGGGGCTGACTCCACGACAGCCAAAAGCAACAACATGAAAAGAGAGCAGTCGTACTGCGTAGGGGGCAGGACAGAAAGAGAGCTCACTCAGGAAAACGATTTACAAGCATCAATACAAAAAAAATAAAAAATTCCGGACTTGGATACAGGTTAACCATTGGTTAACATTGCAATTTTAAGCCAATAAACAATCTTTGTCGCAGTTTCTTCATCTACAAATGTAAGGTCAATTATAAAAGTATAAAAGCTACCAAATAGTTTACTGGCCAAATTAAATAGCAATAAACGAATGGGTCAGAATTGACCCAGTGGCAATTAACAAGTGAGACACAACAAAAATCAAAGTAGCAAAACTACTCAATAAATGGGAGTAACTTCTTACCATGTTTAAAACCATTGCTAGTGCTTTCTACTCATGATATCGTATGGCAAAAACCACCATACTCCAGATAGCATTCATGAATATATACATATTTTAATTGTAGCAAATATAAATAAAGGTTTTACTAGAAGTGTTTCTGCAGCCCTTGTGGCAGAGTTGTTAAATGCTTGGTTAATAAGTGAATGGTATGCATTTGAGCTCATCAGTCGCTCCATCAGAGAAAGATGTGGCATCTGCTCCATAGAGATAACAGGCTGGGAAACCCTAGGGGACAGTTTAATTCTAGCCACTAATACCCCTGTGAGTAGGAACTGCTTCTATGGCAGTGTGTTTTGGGTTGGCGGCACCATGAACTCACCACCAGCTTTGGGGAGGGAGATGTGGTAGTCTGCATCGATAACGGCTTACAGCCTTGGTAACCCTAGGGGAAATTCTACCGTTTCCTGTAGGGTCGTGAGGCCTAGGAATCAATTTGACAGTAATGAGGAGCAATGGTTATTTGCTTGGTTGCAACCCAAAAGACAGGCAGTCATAATCTACCAGTGAATCCGAGAGTAAAAAAAATTTAAAAATCACCATTGTTCCCATAAAAATTACAGCCAAGTAAACCCTACAGGGTAATTCTACTCTGACCTATAGGATCGCTATGCATAAGAATTAACTCGATGGCACACAACAGTATTTGGCAGGTAATTTTTTCCAAATGGATACAGAATAATTAGAGTTTCCGTTTGTTAAAAACTGTGATAAAAGGAAAACTAATAGACTGAATATGCAGAGATTGAGCATAAGTGGTTTGGAGGCAGGTTATCTACTAAAAACCTTGCCTTAGAGTCGATTTCAACTCCTAGAGACCTTTACAGAACAAAGTAGAACTGCTCCACAGGGTTCCCACGGTCCAAATGGTCACAGAAGATGGCACATCCTTCTCCGGTGTATTGGCTGATGGGTTAGAACTGCTAATCTTTTGGTTACCAGTATGCACTTAACCACTGCACCACCACGACTCCCAAGCTGCCCTTTTATGAGTGGACTCCAACTCATATTTAGTTTATAGGACAGAGCTGCCCCTTAGTATTTTCAAAGTTATAAATCTTTAGGGAAGTTGACTGCCTTGACTTTCTCTTCAAAGTAGTTTGTGGATTCAGTCAACCTTTCAGTTGGCAGCTCAATGCTTAAGTCTACTGCACCACCAAGCCTTCTAAATTACCCCTTAGATGCCCCTACTGACAGACTCCTGAAAGCATTTGTTTACAAACAAATATCCATGAATTTTATGTGACATCATCATTTCAAATCCTATCCAAATGGAACTTGCAAAACCAATGATTGGCTCAAAGGCTTAATATAAGAGAAGTAGCTAAGAAGTAGCTAAATCGCCATGTATTCTTGGTAAAGGCCTAATGCACGCAATGCTTGCCTCGGAACTGAAGAGTTTATCCAAGGAATCTAACTTAGATAGCAATTCACTCTTGTAATTGCAGTGGAAATGGCCTTGAAAAGTTATAACCCTTCTGCTCCCATGAGATCAACAAAAGTCAAAACAATCATGACTTGCAATCATCAGAGCCCAATGATAAAGGAGGACTCACATCAGGATCTGTCTAGGAAAAGATCAGGAATACCGTAAGGCATCAAAGATCCTAATGTAACAAGCAGAGGCAGAAGATGAGGTCAAATACTGCCTTTACGACTGTTGTACATCATGTACTTGAATCATAGTGACCCCAAGTGACAGCTGCCCCCATCGGGTTTCTTAGTCTGTAACCACTCTTCAAGCAGCCCTGGTGACGTAGTGGGTTATGAGTTGGGCTGCTAACCACAAGGTCAGCCACTGGAACCCACCAGCTGTGCCAGTTTTGAGAAAGGTTTTCTGCTCTGGCAAAGATCTGCAGGAAACCCACAGGAGCATTCTACCTTGTCCTACAGGGTCACTGTGTCTTAATGGTTGTGAGTTTTCTGTTTATCATTCTGCAAACAGATTTCCTGGCCTTCCTTCCCAAGATTCTCAGAGTGGGCTCTAACTGCCCACCTATGTATGGGTTAGCACCTCCTTAACCCCTGCACTACCAGTGGCACTTAAATCAAGGCAGAATCTGTACTTCAGCCCCCAAATTAAATAAAATTCATATGGAAAGGAGAAAAATCCTGTTAGCATTGATTTTCCTTTTCTTCTTTTACTATTCTTGACAATATCAAATTACTCTGCCATCCCTTTTCTAAGTACTGCATTGCCTGAATCCTATTAAATAAATCAATATTTCTGAGAAGGGAAGAGTTCACATAGGAAGACAGCAATGGAACAATTGAGAAAATGAACAGGTACATAAAACTAAGACTACCCTCATTCCATGTATTGGATACATTCTATATTTTTGTGTTCATTTATCAGTCTCACACAAAAATGTAAGTTGCTTGACAGAACGGTTAGTCTTCAGAGGATGGAAAAAAGTGTTTTCCAATGATATTATTTCTAGACTCATTCGGTCCTACCACTCTCCCCAAATTTGTCAGACCTCAAAATAATCTTTAAATGATCTGAAACACGCTGATCTAAGCAATCTGTGTCAGTCAATGTCTGCCCAAAAAAGTAAGCAAAAATACCTCTTCTCCCAACTTCTTCATCTACCATGAGTACTACATTAGTCAAGAAAAATGTTGTTTTCTAGTTGAACATTACAGAAGTGTGGGCCTGGGCGGTCTAAATATGTAAGAATAAGGTAGGATTACTTACTCCACTTAGATTCCTAAGTCCTACCTCAAGATAGAATATAAGACTTTGAGGGCAGAATATAAAACTTTATATTTCAATATATACATTAGGTGATTTCTGGTATAAATATGAGCCATTAAAACGTTGTTAGTCTATAAATCCATGCTCTTTAAATATGGTAATCAATCTCTGAATAACGCTCTAAGCATTAAGAGTCTAATGGTAGGTACTTTTTTTGTAAGTAGGTACTTTCTACTAATTACTGAGCAACAATTTAGGTTTTCAGTTTTATTACCAGATAACCAAATTGATGAAAAAGAAAAACCATTAGCAGTAGCACATGTACCCTATGCTTCCAAAGGAACTAATTGGAAGCTTTTGATCAATGAAGCAAAACTGGGGG